CATCTCCAAGTTCGGTCCAAATCCATATCGCTGGTATTATCGGTGTCTCGATGCGATAAAAAAGAGGGTAACGTCTGTTTAGCTTTAGTTATCGAAGGGTTGTTCTCTTAAATATTTTGAACAAAATGTTGGAATGTTGTAGCTCGAGAACGACGATCACGTCTTCAAATGGGTCGACGAAGCTTTCACCGATGAGATTGAACAGTTGGACTACCAAGTTCGAATGCTAGAAGAAGAAGTTCAATTGTTCAAAGCAACAATAAGCAGTGAAGGTCCCAAAATAATGCCTAAGATAATGATATCAGAATGTTGTGTTGTTAGTATCATCATTGTCGATGTAGTTCTCGGTCGAATTATGATGTACAAGTGATTCCTAAAGCTAGTGACTTTATCAAACATTCTGTTTTGTCTAAGTTTTTTGTAATTTATGTGAAGTTAAACATTATGTTTGTCTAAGTTTTTCCTAAATTTCTCCTAAATTATGCGAACTTAAACTACTACGAAGTATGGTCAATTTAAAAAGTTTCTCAAATTTTTACGATGTTGGACAATTGAGAAATTGAACATAACACAAATTTAACATGGTTATACGAACACCAACTTTCAAGTTAACTTGAACTACTAAGAAGTCTGGTAAACTTAAAAGTTTCTAAAATGTTTACGATGTTAGACAATTGAGAAATTGAACCTAACACAAATTTGACCTGGTTATATGAACACGGACTTCATGTTACTTGAATTTATTCTTAGGTTCACGCACTTGGACAATTACAAAAGTTAAAAAAACCATTTTTAATACACATTAACGCAATTCAACATCAAAAACCAAGTTTCATAAACACTAATACATTAGATAAAGCCTTACAATAGCCTTATAGCTCTGTACTTCCGAACATAAGGGTCACTGTTATTGACCGATTGTTTGAACTCCTCTACCATTCTTCTATAGGACCAGAATAAGCTGTATAAATGAGTTTAGATAAGGTTTTAGTCAACTAACACATTTAAACCTGAACACATAAGCATAAACTTCACTTACAGAAATAGTCGCGGACCCTCCACATCTTAAGGACCACAATCACCTGTCGACGACCTCCCCTGTTTTCAAATCTTCCTGGAAGGCATAAGCATGTTTCCCAGTTGCTACACATTTTATCTGACTCTCACTATGATGAATAAAACAAGGTGAGTCAATTTCACTAATGCAAACATTTTGTTTTCATCATATGTTACTTAATACTTACATGTTGTCCCTTATGTAAAACACCATCTTTGGTCCTTCACGATCGTTCAGAGGATCGATGATGTGGATTTGGGTATCGTCAGTAGCAGTTAGTGTGAATTTGGATTTTGTTACCTTGAAACCTGAATGGGCACGGACAACTTCTACAATAAAGATTTTCACTCATTTTCACTCATTTTCCCTCTTGCTTCTCTATGCCTGTAAACCTATCTCCATATATATCATACATAGATGGTCATCTCCATCTTGGTTCCCTGCATAAATTAAGTTCAACGAGCGAGTTTATATTTTCTATTGTTGTTATTAGAAACTTGAGAGATGATGATTTTGTACTGACATGTTCATCTGCTAGGACATAAACATGGTGTGATCTTTTGCCGGTAACATAGGAATAAAAAGGATAGATCCTTATGATTTTCACTCTGAAACGCTAATGCTTAGGGGACTGGTTCACAACTTTCCTATTTTTACACGTGAGTTTGCTGATCAGATGAATCACAGATCATTGGGGTTACTAAAAACCACAGATCTTTATGTCTCTGTTGGAAAAGATAGATCCCAACATCAATTATAATTGCTGGTGCACAGAAATGATGCAACCAATGTTTGTTGTCACCTTAGATGGATCAAGAACACAATGGAAATACGATCGTTGTTTTTGGCAATGTGCAGTTTGGGACTTCTGCAATGATATTCATTTCAACGTTTCTCTGTGGCCAATTGAAGATCAGGGATTGAAGTATTTTCGTGTGTTTATAAATTGTTTCTAAGTTATGCACTTTTCTAAATTTTATGTAAAATACATTTTCCTTAATGTCATGTCTTTAGTTTTTATTTATTTTATTTTCACTAAATATATCAGTAACATAATGCAAATGAATAACTGTAATCAAAGCTGAATCGATATGTTATTACTAAATATATCAATAACATATTGCAAATGTACATGATATAATCAAAAATTAGGTTCAGGTTTACTAAGTTGTATAATTACTACAATTGTGAATTAGTTCAACTTAAATTACAGTTATACTTACACGAGTTGTATAATTACACAAAGTTTTAGTAATATTTTTGAAGTTATGGACAGTGGAGATCCAAATTTTATGATTCGGGCCTGGATGGTCCGCGAAATGTACCTAGTTGCGTTGTAATTATTTGAGTTTCTTTTGATCTTTTGGTCTTTTACTAAATTTTCATATTAAAATAAAGATTTATTCGAATTTATTGGGGGTAAATTTAGGATAGGAGTATTTGATAATAAAATTTATCGGGGCAGAGGTACTGGAGCATTTGATTCAAAATTACTTGATACACTTTTCAAACTTGAATTACGAAATTCAATCTATATATATTTCAGTGCATACACCTGTAATTCTCAATACATAGACAACCAAAACTATACTTTCTTACACAGCAAGTCGATAATGTCTTCGACAAAACACATCTCACACATTGTCTCCATCACCTTCTTCTTCTGTTTTCTCCTCCAATTTTCATTTGCTCAAACCGTCGTGAAAGGCTCGTACTGGTTTCCAGAGAGTGAATTCCCAGTCACCGACATTAACTCATCTCACTTCACTCACCTCTTCTGTGCTTTCGCTGATCTCAACTCTCAAACCAATCAAGTGACTATCTTCTCTACTAACCAACCAAAATTTTCAACTTTTACACAAACCGTACAACGAAGAAACCCTTCAGTGAAAACCCTTATGTCTATCGGAGGTGGGATCGCTAATAAATCCGCGTTTGCTTCCATGGCAAGTAACCCCACTTCTCGAAAAGCATTCATCGATTCTTCTATCAGACTTGCTAGGTCCAATGGATTTCATGGTCTTGATCTGGACTGGGAGTATCCTAGTAGTGCAACGGAGATGAACAACTTTGGGACGCTACTTCGAGAATGGCGATCTGCGGTTGCAGCAGAAGCAAGTAGCACTAGTAGACCGCGTTTGCTTTTGGCGGCTGCGGTTTTCTACTCCTCTGATTACTATTCTGTACTGTACCCGGTTCAAGCTGTTGCCACTAGCTTAGATTGGGTTAATCTTATGGCCTACGATTTTTATGGACCAGGTTGGTCCACCGTGACTGGTCCACCGGCCGCCCTCAATAACCCTTCAAACGCAGGTACTAGTACTACAATAACTGAACACAGCCAAATATAATACTCTTTTTCACTTTAATTGATGTTTTATGAATACATTTTTTATTGAACTGGTATTTTCAAGTTTATACGCAAAAATTAAATATTATCTAGTATCTATACTATTATCTGAGAAGTAAATTTGCTTAGTTGTCAACTTCTCCTTGATTTTAGGTAAATTTATTTATTTATCTCATTTAAATAATTTCATATACAATTTATTATTTAATAAAAACGAATTTATATTAATAATATTATATTTTAGAAAATATGTTAATTATTTTTTATTAAATTGTTATCTTAAAAATATATTTTTCTATTCAATAATTTTATGAATAATTTATCATATAATGAAACAAATTTCTATTAATAATATTATAATTTGAGAAAATAAGATATTTTTTATATATTATATTGTTATCTTTAAAATATAATTTTTATCATAGAAATAAAAATTAAGTTAAAATATTAATAGTTAAATATAAAGAAAGCAATGATTTATCAACTTCTCCATAGTTTTATATTTTCTTATTTATCATATTTTAATAATTTCATATATAATTTATTAAATAATAAAAAAATGTATATTAATGATACTAAATTCAAAAAAATAAGATAATTCTTATGTATTAGATTGTTATCTTGAATATATATTTTCTATTAGAAAATTTAAGTGAATTATCTGATTTTTAATTTCTCCATGATTTAGATAATTTTGATTATTCGTCATATTTTTAATAATTTCATATAAAATTTATTATAAAATAAAAATGAATTTCTATTAAAAATTATATTTTAAGAAAATAAAATACTTCTTATGTATTATATTGTTATCTTGAAAATATATTTTTTACTATAGAAATAAAAAAGTAAGATAGAAAAAATTATAATTAAAATAAATTAAAGCAACACATTGTAAAAATATATTTTAAAAATATTTTGTTATGTGAGTGTTGTCATTTATAATTAATTTTAGTTTTAAAACATAAATCATAACTTATTATATTGGTTTGAATTAATAAAATATAGACCAATAATAAATTGTACGAAAATTATGTCCGCATGTGCGGGCAAAACACCTAGTTTATGATTATTTTCTATTCTGCATTATGGTTTTGCATTAGTTGAATTAAACTGTACTTATTTTTAATGCAAAACGAGATATAGATTAAATAAAAATTAGTAATTGTTGGACAAAAACTTTAATTATCACTTTTAAAAAGAGTAGATATATAACACAATGTTTTCGTCAAAATAATAAAGAAACAAAAAACTGACTCAGGGATGAGTAAATCGTTTTCGCTATGCTTTGCAAAAATTTCCGTTTGGTTTAGTTTCAGTTCCTTCGCTTCTTGATAAAAACATTTAAAAAAAAATCAATTTAACTTAATATTAAATCTGTTTAGTTTATTTTAAATTTTATATATCATTTGATCAAAAACACAAAAGTTTATGTCCAATAAGAAACAGAAAACGTTCATAGACGGAAGCATCAGCTCGGTTTGATTTGGTTATTAAATCCGGTTTATAATAGGTCCTAGTGGCGACGCTGGAGTGAGGGCATGGATTCAAGCCGGACTTCCAGCAGCGCAATTAGTCTTGGGATTTCCTTACTACGGTTACGCATGGCGTCTCTCAAACGCCAACAGTCCTAGCTATTACGCAGCCACCACTGGATCGGCAATATCGCCGGACGGTTCGATCGGATACGGTCAGATAAGAAAGTTTATAGTGGATAACGGAGCCACAACGGTTTATAATTCCACAGTTGTCGGAGATTACTGTTATGCCGGGACCACTTGGATAGGGTATGATGATAATCAGAGTATCGTGACGAAAGTGAGATACGCTAAGCAGAAAGGTCTCCGCGGTTACTTCTCGTGGCATGTTGGAGCTGACGATAACTCTGGTCTATCTCGTGCAGGTTCGATTTTATTCCAACTTTTAAATATTCGTTTCTTTTTATATGAAGCGAAATGTACATATTTTTATGAGTTTTCTTGTTTTTGGATTTTTACAGCGTCACGGGCATGGGATGCTACGGTGGCCACCACGGTTATCCGAAAGAAGTTTTAAAGTTTCAGCTGTTCCGACAACGGCTAGTGAAAATGATTGTTTTTGTATTTTTGTTTTTTGGATAACAAGCTTACAAATTAATATGCAGAAAGCAAATACAAAGTATGGTGTAACACCATAGAATTTGGCAAAGTTTGATGAAACTAAGACATAAGGAAGCTTAAGAAAGACTTAAACTAGATTAGAAACTTAAATAAATTAAGCATAGCATTTCAAAACATGAGTAACAGGTTAGCGAAGATGATGAAAAGAACCTCTACACCCGCGTTTTCCTCTTCATCCCACCGTCATCCCTTCTATATCTTGAAATTTTTGTGTGGGCTTAATCATCCTTCCGTCTCTTGTCAGATTTGAAGTAGTCTCACTTCCTTCACCTAATCTCGAAATTTGAACTCTTCTGCTGACTCATTAGCGAAATCAGCTCTGTGTAATGGCTTCACCCCTTTCGTAGGGTAACTTTGGTTTTAGTTAATTAATGGTTGTGATAAGAAAAACATGAATCGATTAAGATGATATCATGATTAGATCGAGATGTTTACAAAAATGTTGCTTCAATTTGAAGTGGTTATAGAATATTTCAAATTATATTTATAGAAGTTACCAAACATAAAAGTATAGAATGCTTGACTAAGTATTCGAATGGAGGAGCGGGACAAGTGCAGATCGCACTTGCAGTTCTCATGCATTGTTTTTACCGTTCACGTTTTTATGTTTATAAAAGCAGTTCAAGCGGGAGATCTGCATGCAGTTCAATACTTTCTGTCTTTTTTTGAAAAAAAAAGCAAGAGATCTGCATGCAGATCCCATCCGCTAACATTTGATGGTGCTGATCTGCTTTTTTCACTAATGAATGATTTTGCTACAAACACTAACTTTAAATATATTTATTGATTTTATAAATAATATATAATGATTAGCTCAAACAATATAATTCACACTAAATACTATTTGTGTAAATTTTAAAATTAGAAGCATATCATTTTTAAAATTATAAGTATGACATCAAGTCACAGACAAAACATAATATTTTTCAACAACAAAAGATATAAATCTTTCTATATAAATATCAACAAAGAGTTTAATATTAGTAACATGTCGGTTCTTAAAAGATTATTTTGATCAACTAAAACGAAATAGAAGAAATACAAGCACTTATGCAAAATTCAATAAACATTTCGGCTAATCCTAGAACATCTAAGATATTTATTTTGATATTTTGGTATAATCTTTTATTGTTTGAATATATGATCTATAGTTTTGAACTGATTTTATCATTCATAATTTATAATAAATCGTTTGATCTGCATCTCCTGCATGATCCGCTTGATCTACACTTGTCCTGCTTGATCTGCACTTTTCCTGCTTGATCTGCACTTGTCCTTATTGATCTGCATGAACCGCTTGATCTGCACTGCTTGATCTGTTTTTACCATTCGAAGCCTAAATGTTGTCTATGGGAGTAGTGTGGATTTGACTTGTGATTGATTTACGATTGATAAACAAAGTTAATGTTAGAAAATTATCATATATAGAGGTAAAAATTCTTATCATAAAACCGTAAATATAAATATTAGAAACCCCACGAATCATCTAAATAATCCCTCAAAAGTAAAAACGCTTTGTCAAAAATAAGACCCTCCTCAAAACTAGATGGATCAGATTAAAACTATACCAATTTTTTTTTTTGATAAACCCTATCGACTGATTCGATCAGCTTTGGAAGAAATGCACTTAATGTTACTGAGTGAACTAGTTACCACACTCACTGTCTAATCCGAGTTTAGAATACCTTCCGACAAATTTTATGGAATGAACCGATCATCTGCTATGATCCACCATGTAAACCAGTTGGAGTGAAACCTAGATCCAGATTAGCCAAATACTGATAAGTTAGTTTCAAATGAGAATCGAACTTAGGACTGATATGGGTACACACATAGCCTCAAGAGATTATATTAAAATTGCCTCGTGAAGTCGAATCGAGATGACCTATTCTGCCATACGCTAAACCTCTGATATTACCGAGCAGCTGTGGATCAATCTGATCGACACCTTACTAGTAGTTGGGTGCTGATAAGGATGGACCAATTTGATTCTTCAACACCTTGATATTTAGTTGTTTCTTCCACCTTCTCATATAATTGGTATAATATGAATGTAAATATAGATGTCATCATGCCATATATATAATAATAATATAAATGTCATTTTCATGCAAGCATACGTAACACATAGCAGAAAACACAAAGCGAAAACCAAAAGCTCAACTGTAGTAAGGACAATATCAGCAAAGAAAAACATATTATTTAAACCACCTAACTACCTAAGGTGCAACTTATCCGCGACGTGAACGAAACTATTAATATGTCCATAAATTTAATGTATTTTTATGCTGAATTGTATTATTAAGCTATTTAGAAAAACAATTTTAAACAATGAAATTAACAAAAAAAAGTACAGGAAAAATATATCAGTAGGATTTCAAAGTTAACAAACACATCTATTTTACAAATGAACAATTAAAAATAATTATTTATATTGCTCTATTAATAATAACAAAGTTAAAAAGATTAGTATTTCATAAAATTTTATGTTGTCTTTTAAAGTAATCATAGTTTGCAACAATAACTCCATTATCATCAAATAAGGGCCATCAACGATCGAAGTCGTTATTTTTTCTACACGATTTAATTAAAACAATTTTTTGTATTTCCAAATTTATTGGAATCATATAAAAGAATAATTCCAAATTTTATCAGATTTAAAAGAAATTAATAATTAAATAAAATAAATAACTAAAAAGAAAGTAAATCAAAGAAAGAGAATCAATACAAATTAAACAAATCGATGTCAAAAGATAAAGCTGTAGAAACCTCCAGTTATCCGTTTGAAATTGTAAGGAAATTTATATTTTTATAATAAAAGTTTTAAAATATTGAAAACATCATTTTTAATGTGAGAGATTTAATATTTACAGTAATTTATCATTATTTAAATAAATTAAATGAAAATTTTGTCATTAAACTATAAATACTTGTTCAATGCAAATTTGGAATTAAATATTTATATATTATTAAATGGTATTTATTTTAATTTAAAAATTATTAATATATGTATATATATGATTTAAATATCTATTAAATCATATTTCTTACTCATTAATTATATAATTGTTTGTATCGTGCTATAACAAAAAAAATAAACTATTAAAAAAATATTATATGTGAAATTTTTTTTAAAAGAATTATTAATTTATAGTCATTTTTAAAAATCCAATATATAACATATATAAAAAATCTATTTTTTTTGTTATATAGTTAATGTTATTGTTTAATTTATTTTCACAATATTAACAAGGATATACAATATTTTTATCAAATCTTTCATATTCAAATCATTAATTATCATATACATATTATAACCATAGGTAATTCCGTAAAAAAAAATTTAAGTGAATAATCATTAGTATTAATAATAGATTTATGTTTACTTTAATAAAAAGTATATTATATGTTTATGTGATTAACATTTGTTTCTAGTAAATTTGAAAAACATTTTCATAAGAACATATGGTTAATAAAACATGTTGTAATAATTTTCATTTAATATAAGGAATATAAGGGATGTTACCCATCTTCTCACGTTTTCTTCAAAGCATGAACTCCACGTACGTCTCTATCTTGTTCGTTTGTACGTTTGTCTACCTTATGAAATCAATAATTAATATATACCGATTATTTTGACCAAAAAAAAATATATATATATACCGATTATAATGAAGCTAAACGAAAAGGGAATATATGAAAACGTATAATGGGACAAATAAGTCCATTCAAAATTGATAAAAAGCTCTGAGCAAGTTTTAAGATAAAAAAAAAACTCTAAAACTAATCTTCAAAAAAAAAAAAAAACTCTAAAACTACAAGATAATTGTTTAGTCGTACGAAGATCTCGGGTTGTTAATCCAGATTTTTTTTTTTTTTTTTTTGACATCAAACGGCTGATCTATTATTCAAGCAACATGAAGTGGTCTGGGAATCCAGACCGTAATAAAACAAACAACGTACACAAGCTTACGGTAAAAGGACCTAGCTGTCTTAGTTAAAGAATCAGAAACATCATTCTGTAATTTAGGAACATAAAAAATCTTGAAGTTAGAAAAGCAGATCTTCAGCGTCTCCAGTTTCTCCAGCTCTGTTGAGAAGTTAGGCCAGGCATAAGGACTCTTGAGCATCTCGATCATCTCCTTGCAATCAGTTCCAAAGCTCTGACATGACGAATATTGAAGAATATTCTCCATTGCCCACCGCAGTGCTTCCAACTCTGAATGCAACGCCGACTCCACTCGATCAAAATTACACAGTCCCAATAATTTGCTACTTCTGAAATCGTCATTTAGCACCCATCCACAACCACTGAAATCATTCGTAGAAGTCCAAGAACCATCCACCATGCATATATTACCCAAGTTTAAATCCTGGTCTTCCTCTCCTCCGTTCTCAATGGAGACCGGAGTTTCCTGCTCATTTTCTTTGAACCATGCTTGGCATTCACTTTCTGCATAGCGCGCTAACTTCAAGGGATCTATATCAATGCCTCTGAAAAGTTTATCATTCCTAGCCTTCCAAATGTACCAGATTAGCCAAGGATAAGGATCCCCATCCAATTCCGGTTCCATTATCGCATTCTTCCTCCAGAAAAGATAATCCATATTCGTGTACGTGCTTAGTGCTGGAAACAGAGCGGGATTGGTTGGCGTAGATGATAGTGCCCAAACTTGTATTGCAGGTGGACATTCAAATATTGCATGATTGATCGTCTCCTCGGATTCCCCACAGCGAGGACAGTGATTGTCACATCTCATATGACTATAGTTTAAGATGCTCGTGACAACTACATATTCTGTAATCAGTTGCCACATAAGATGGCAAATCTTTTGAGGAGCCCTGACCTTCCAAACATGTGCTTGAAGCTTTGTGATACTGGATTCACATACTTCA